CATCACAGAGCGCACAGCGCGCCGGTAGTTTCTCCTTGGGAGTTTTGCACGTGAATGTTTCATGCCAGCCTGCACATTTCATGCAGCGGGCTCTGTAATGGCAGTGCTCTCTTGAGTGTCCATAACGCTGGAACCTGTGACACTGCACAGGTCCAGGCTTCTTCTTGTACTGTCTGAGTACGACATCAAGTCCTCGAAGTTTTTTTAAAATTCCAAATCTTCTTTCCATCATCATTTCGCTTGGTTTCAACTAGAAACAAGGGTAGCTTCACTATTTGGCCTTCCCTATAGCTGGTCAGCTGCCTCACTTTTTCTACGGGTATTTTTAACTCCTTCAGCTCGTTTTCAATAACTTCTACTTTCATCGTTCTGGGTAGCTTTTTTATCATCGCTTTTAGCGGTCTATCTGAGTTAATTTTAAAAGTGTGGAAAGGGACTCCTTCACTTGCGAACATGCCTGTGATCGCTCTATAATCATCAGGGGTTTTTGCTCGAATGGTTAGGGTATCTCCTTTCATTCCAGCTTTGTAACTTTTAATTTTTAAATCTTCCTCTATTCTCTCTATCTTATCCCAGTCGCCACTGAACTCGTCTAACACGATTGGGGGAATATGGTTTGCCGTTTTTCTGGGGGCAATAAATTCACCTTCGGTATCTGCACTATCCATTTTGTCGTCATTCTGTAAATCCACAAATTTATTTTTCTGAGGTGGTTCATTTATCTCAGTCTTAGATCGCGTTCTTTTTAGGGTATTTCGAGGGGCAATAAATTCGTCCTCATCGACCACGTTTTTCCTTTTAAGCTTAGAATTTGTCCTCCTAATTTTAGGGGTTTCCTGAGCTTGCATATTTAGCTGGAGATCACTTAACTGCTCTGAAATATCCTGAATTCTCTCAGTAACCGGTCCTGCTTTCAAACCTGATTTTTCTAATTGTATCTTTTCCATAATCAGATTATAAATCTCATTAAACTTTTCCTTCGGTAGGTTACGGATAACCCGTTCATCTAGATTATTTTTATTTCCGTAAATCATCTATCTCTATTTCTGACATGGCTAGCTCCAACCTAGCTGTTAGCTACTGGTAGTTGCAGCTTTGTATAAACTTTATACTCTGATGTAATTTAAAGCGTATTGAAATCGCGTCACAAGTCACAAATTTTCAGAAACGTATTTTAACACCAACTTACTTACTTCAGTAACGAATTTCACACTTCAAACAACTACTTACTACAACGAACTGAGAGGTTTTCCTCCTTTTATAAGATTTTAAAATCGCGCGCGAGAATTTTCTAGTACTTTCTCGAAATCAAAAAGAGATATTTATTAAATGTTACATGCACGCGCTCTTGTATTTTCAATTTTCCGGCTTAGCTTTCTTTTAATATTCATCACGCGCTACACTGCGCGGGAAATAAAACCATTTAATTTATAATTGAACTAATATTAATTATTTCAATGCCAAATCCGTAACAATATTTTGAACATCACCAAAAGTATGCAAAGGAAAAACTCTCATTTTAAAGATATTTAGACTAGTCTGTATACCTTTAGACATCATCTTCCTGGTTCTTAAAAAAGAAACTTCCAGTTCACTCGGGTAGAACACAAACAACCATTATTCTGCTTCCAAAGCCTGGAGAGACAAAATAAATGTAGTTTCAGGAAGCTCTAAAATCAAGTAATAAAACTTCTTGAAAACTTTCTTCAAATTAGCAATTAGAACGTAGTCAGATACTTCAAAAGGTGACTAAGGCCAACTGATCAAATTTTGTTGGAGACGAAGTATCATCCGCCATATGCCTAATTCGAAAGTTTTACTTTTCCAGCGAAAAAAAAAGTTAACATCTAACTGTGACCTTTCAACGATTCGAACCATGGATCATGATGTACTTTATAGCTGGTCGTAATACCTACTTACATCACAAGAGCACGCATGGAGAAATGCGACAATTCTTAACCCTTTCCGGCACGCTACATTTTAAAGTCGGAGTTTTGATTTAAAAGAAAAGGTAGGCAGTCTAATTAGGCCTAGAGTAGTACACAAGTAACATTTTGTGAAGATAGCACTTATCATTTTAATTCTGTGGGTGTGCCCAAAGTGGCACACTGATTGAATAGAGCTTCGAAAAGAGTGCTGAAACGAGCATTGTTGTCAATGAACTGACCTATGAGATGCGGAGAAATAAAGAATACAGACTCTTAGTTGTCCTAGATTATCGGTGAGCTCGGTCTGGACACACCTAGGTTTCGCCGTTTGATTTTAGGCAAGATTTTAAGGTAAAAATTTAAAACTAATATAGAATAAGGAAATTAGCATACAGCTAAAAAAATAACATAGATATTTTTTTCAAACGATTCCTTTTATACCCTAAAAAATCTGGAAGATTTCTTTGAAAAAGGAGGGTCTTAAAAAACTAAACATGGCTAAAATAGATGGACTGGTTTGTGCTGAGCTGCCATCTACTATAAATAAAGAAGGTTCAGAGTAAACTATAGTAACCTATAAATCCTTTTTCATTCAATTTTTCTGTGCGTACAGAAGGAAATTTTTAGGTGTCCCGATTGGACACACTGTGCCGCAAAGGGTTAACCGGCTTTTCAACTAGCCTAATAGAAATATTCAATGCTGCCTGATAAATCTTCTGAACCAAGATATTAGCTACATAGTTATGATTCTAAAGCTAATTTTCAAAAGCGTTAAAAATTTATCAATGGGGTATTACGCCTATTCCAGGAGAAAACATCGCGGAGAAAGCAACATAAAGCGAAAACGTCGTTGTTGAAAACATCGTGAGAAAATACAAAGCAAGGAAAAAACATCGCAGTTCTGAAACATCATAGTATAAAACCTCATGGTCGAAAAATAAAACTAATCAAAACCTTCTTAATTTGAAAACATCGTCGTCGAAAACATCGTGGTAAAAATAGAGCACCTGCAAACCATAGCATGCGATAACATCGTAGAATTGGATGCGCATAACGCGCACAAGAATTCAAGAATATTTTTGTTTTTATATTTTTGAATTAACTAATAAATTTTTGGTGAAAAATTAAGAAGGAAACTTAAGCATCCAGAAACTGAAAATGGGTAAAATCTAATGCTTCTTATATCAATTGGCGGAATTTTATAATCTGGTAATTAATTAAACAGTTTTCATAGAGATAATGCAGTTATTCATCTTCCTTTATCTAATCATTTTTAGACTATATTTTGCATGAAAAATTACCAATAAAACTTACTAGAAGAGATTAATTAATTAATGTCCTTTGTTAGTTAACTATTTTAGTTTAAAATTTTTTTAACTGCTACACCTAGTGCTATTTTTCTACTCATTTTTAGTTCTTGAATATCTTTCTTATTTATTCAGCAAAAATGTACCAGTACATGAATGTAATACATGAATTCCTTCTTCTTCTCACAAATCATTATGCGGATATGCATTTACAGCTTTTAAATCCTGAAAAACGTACGTCTGCGATATTATCATCAAGCGATGATTTTTAGGTGCTTTATTTTTCACCACGATATTTTCAATCAGTTTTCATGATTCTTTCACGATGTTTTGTAAGACGACGTTTTTGACTTGTCATTTTCTGCTCAACGGGTTCGTCCACGATTCATTTGCCAAATGTTTTCAGCGGACACCCAACTGTTGATACTTATAAAGCGTATTCGTAAAGTAAAAGAAACTAGTTGTAAATTGCACCTAATAAATTCTTGCCATTTCTGATTTAGGCAAGTCTAAAATTAAACAAATATGTGTTTGATTTGAAACGAAATGAGGATGCATTTCTTTTAATAATGTATGTAATAATTTCGCAAATGACTTGAGGATTAGAAGATAGCTACTAAAGATGAGATGTTATCTGCAATTACCTGGAAAGGCTTTGTGTTTTTTTCATAGTTAGTTTCATAGTTTTTCTACGCTTTATTTTTTTAAGAATTATGCATACCTTCCTAAGATGACATAACGGAGACACACTTGACGAAAATAAACGCATTTATTTATTTGTGCGTATTCTTCATAAGCATAAACGTATTCACATATAATTTTATGTGCTTATGGACACCTCCACACTTTTATGTAAAGGAAGAAATTTTTAGAACAATGGAGAATGCGAAGCGATGGCAACACACAGACTGTCAAGCGATGGCAACACACAGATCGAGGCGAAATGAAGAGAGCGACTGCGATACTGCTGTAATTACTCTGGGTATCTATTGCCCTTGGCAATATTTTCATAGTGAACCAGAGTATTGCCGAGGCAATATTTTCATAGTGAACCAGAGTATTGCCGAGGCAATACTTTCATACCAGAATTTCTCAGTATTCCTCAAGGAGTCTGAGAAATCCCTACTGGGGGGGGGAGAACATGAAGAAATGTAAGCAAAAGGCTCATATAGCCAGTGAAATACAATAGCCTGAACTGAGTTGGGAGGCAGGAAAGCTCTAGCTCTAACTAGCCGTGGAGGAGGTGACGTCAGTCGACGAGGACCAAGCAGCGTTGTTGTCGTTAGTTGGTAGGGCGTTGTTGTTTTGATGAAGAAATGATAAGCAGTTATTAATTAGTAGGTACATCACCTATCAAAATGCTCGAAAAAATGTGGACAATAACATAGTGAAGTTGACCAGTTGTACTTAGCACTTAATTATCTGATAAATATTAGTTCCTGTAAGCGGTAGCTGCATGGTGATTGGCTAAACAGTTTGACGCAGAGTAGCTTAGTTATTTATAAGCTCCGGTTTTATTTTCGATTGGTTAAGAGATAGCCACACTGCCGATAAATTTTGATGCATTGCAGATGCTAGGAGAGAGACATCTAAAAAGGAATTTAAAGGTCTACTTGGCAGTAGTTAATAGTTTTGTTAATGACTTAGCTTCATATTTTATATTTTACTTGCATATTTTTACTCTTTTTCAGTTCAATCTCTTGTGTATGAAAAACTTATTCACTGTAATTAATTGAAACCTAATCTTCTCAATGGATATTTTTAGGATGTCGTGGCGAAGCCGTTTGCTTGTTCCTTCAAGGAAAAGTATACTCCTTCCGTTCCAGGCTTCATAAAGATCGTTCTTGTGTCAACTGCAATCGGAGCTGCAGCCTGCGCTTTTTTGGCTTGTTCAAAATTTGCTATTAGAAGAAAATGTTTGTAAAATTATGTTAATTTTATATAAATCTTATTTTACTGTTTTTGTAAAAATTATTTTAATATCTGAATGAAATAAAACAATGTGAGAGTTTTTGGCTGTCAATCTTAGTCCCATTTCATGTAGCATACGAACTGAATAGTATAAAATAGCGAAAGTTGTAAAATGCATAGTCTAAGAAAAATTAATCCTTTATATAGTGCCGAAAAAAAGAGTAAGAACTTTAGGTGTAACAGCCTGAAATCCATATATCATTGTCACAGTAGCAAAATTTCCAGTATGGAGATTGTAATATTTTCGTTCTTAAAATTAAAACCAATCTCCAAGTTTAAATACTAACAACCGTTGCATCTGCAATGAACTTTACTACCTCATCTTCCCTGACAATGAATGTAGTCTTTAAAAGTGCCCAAATGACATATACCAAACTTTTCTAAAAAACAAACTATAACAAATGGCTCATTTTCTCAGCGTTATTCCATTAATCTGAAATATGCGTCAATTAAACTCATGCTCAAAACATAAGCAACGAACGCTTAAAGAAACGGTACAAGCGTAAAAAGGGAAATTTAAACATACGATTTACATATGACGTAGATGTTGCAAGCTAGCGCTAATTCACCAATAGTACGGTATTTCGTGCCAGGTGGGGTGAGTTGCAATTAACCTAACTAGTTTTAAAAGTCTCTTTCATGTATTGTTTCGTTTACACAGCCTTCTGCCAGATTTTATAGGACAACATGAGTGAATCTAACGGATAAACGGATAACTGGAGGGCACTCAAAATACACGTCAAGCTAATAATCCTCTCGAGAGGTTGATAGTAAAGTAAGAGGGGTGGAGAGCCTCGACCCACACTTCGGCTGTTTCCCCCCAAATTTGGGGCTGAAGTTTAACATTTAGCAAGACCTGGCGATACATAATATGTATATACCTACGGAAAGTCACATGTGATAAACTTACTTCTGTTTTGTATCTATTCAAATAGTCGGACACTTAATGTATTCGCCCTGAATATCCAATATCCATCCTCATTTAGCAGTCTCGTCGTTGAGGACATTGCCCAGGGTGCACCAGGCTAAGCAACTGAATTAGATCCATGATAAAGGTGAAATTCCGTCCCATTTTTGATAGAAGAGATCCGGGAAACCGAGGAGATCCATGGTTGTCCCACTCCTGTTTCCTTAGCACCAAATCTCTCGAGAGGACATTCGAATAGTCAATATTTTAAATATCGTCGAATGCAATTAGGCAACCAAAATTAGTATAAAGCTCAATCCCGTAATCACACACAACACCTTAAAAAGAGGCATGCGCGACCTATGTGTCAGTTCACTGTGACCTTAAGATTGAACCTTTGGCGAAGGTTCTCAGAAAACTCAATGATTACTTCTATCAGGAAGCACAAGAATGTAATATAATGAACCACTTTAAACTTTTCAGCTACGAGATTCTCCACGAGGACCTTCATTTGTGCCCTTTTGTGGCTTTCATGCTCAGCGATAGCCAAAATTTTTCCAATACATAAAGCTTAAATGTGCTTTCCCAGATGAATCTGTGCATATAGCAAGATTTTGACTTCATCGTCATACTTTTCCTTTACAAAGCTATCTCAAGTGGAGAAGCTTCATCTTTGAACTTTTACATACGTCAGAACCCTAAGGGGACCCTGGAAAGAGCAGGAGTATTGCATCTCCCGCTGCATACCAGAATAATCAACAAAGTATCCAAATATGCTCATCACTCATTTCATGCAAAGGAAATGCTTGTAAATATTGCTTATATAGTCTCCCAGTTTATGGGAGAAATTCGTATGTTTATGTATTATATCTTGTCTCCAGGACTCACTTAGCGATATCTGTCCCTGCATCGCTACATCAAGCAACCAATTATAGATAGCCGGCATACAGCTTGCACTTTTGCAAGCTAGACGCGGTGATAATAGCAAACGGAATGGAACGGAACTATGCAAGCGGAAATAATTCCGTGTAATCCGAGACAGAGAAATGGAAAGCATGAGCCGAAGGCACAGTATGCACGATGAAATGCGTTGCAGGGCTGTCGAGATGTTGCAACCAGGCGGACATCTCGACAAATTGCATTGTTGTAAAGTAGCTGAATGTGCATCATAGTGTCATTAGTAGGCTGTGGAATCATTACCAAAGTTACCCTGTGGAAGACGTGGGTCTGGACGCTGGAGGATTACCACAACGACAGACGATCGCTTCCTGTTGCTATGTGTAAGACGCCATAGATCAATAACAGCTGGCGTCGCATCTGTCTGCTGCTAGAGGATGTCGCATATCCCGCCAAGCTGTGTCGTATCGAACTGCATGAAAGTGGACTGTAGGCCCGACGACATGCGGTTTGTGCCATTTTGTCCCCATCGCATGATAGAGCACGGTCGAATTAGGCCCATAAACACCCACAAAATATATTACATAACTATTACCGCTGGAACTTAACTAACAATCAAATGTTCCTCTTCAATCGATCTCTTGTTCAGATCTCTAGGAAATGTTAACACGCAACTAATCATCAGAAGTAGATGAGTATCTGAGGTTTTGGACATACTAATTTTCTTTCCATTAATACAGATTTGAAAGAATTTTGAGTTGATGCTGCACTCGTGTTCTAATATCTTTCCTAAAAAAAGGGACCCATAAAAATTTGCAATATAAATGACAGGCATAGGCTTTGCGATAAGGAGACGAAATAGCTTCATGCGGTCCTTCTGCTTCAAATACTGCATTTAATCACTGCCAGTACTCTCTGAAAGTCACCCGCCTATTAAAGTACACTTGTGATGGCTTCATGTCATTTAACTGCTGGAAACAAGGCGCTTTTAAACGAACTACTAGATTAACCCGGCAACAAATGTCGTCCCTTGCCCTTTCTAGCTTAGCCACTGAATGCAGGGTACCATTCTAATGACCAATGACGATAGTTTTGGGGGGACAATTATGCGAGGGCCGACTTGGACAAATGACAACATTTTAACAGTGGGTGGATCTGAAAAAATGTCTAAATAATATCACAAAAGAGTTGAAAACCTTAAAGAAGGCAATTTCAAGTTTAACACTTCCAAAATGTCACTGTTTCATTTAAAAGGTACTAATTTTGTATATATTACTTTCTTAGCTTGGATGTTTGTGTTGGGTACTTTGAAAATTTAATCAAACTTTTTTCAGACAATTCAACCAATATTATCAATTGAATAAAGTAAAAGGAATAAGCAGGATACAGTTTTCTTTAATCAGTTATACAAAACACAAAAGGACGACCTGGCCATTTGCGCTCATTTGCGTCTACCATATCCATTCGAACTGGACTTTCTTCGATGTGGCGTCCAGTAACTTATAGTGCAGTTCCTTTGCAAGAACATGTTACTGCCTGGTTCTGTAACATTCTTTCAAATCCTAATCGGAGTTTCTTGTTTCGCCAAGAAAGACTCATGAAGATACTTGAATATTTTCATCAGTATTAGACATCCCACATTCTTACACCAAATACACCCGCATGAAATTTAATTAAAAAAATATATGTGTCAAGTAGCCACATGGATAAAAGGGCAACAAGGAACATGATACTAACTCAGAAGTCAAACAACAAAATCAGCGTTATATTTTCAAAATTTTCGCAGGACTAGTTTCGATGGTTTTTACCGAACCACCATCCTCAGCTGCAAGACCGCAAATGAACAAGATAGGAAATAATGACTAGATAAGATAAGAAAGCTTGGACAGGAATAAGCAAGCGCCGCCATCTGTTGATGAAACCAGAACTAAAACATAATTTCTCTAAAGGCCGAAGGCAAATTTGGATTGGAATTAGGATAGTTAACAAGAACAGAAAGATTTTTTTGAATGTGAAATGCCTCTAGAAAATCCAATTCTCCAATGGAAGATGTTTTTTGAATAATTTTGGCAGCAGAAAAATTGAAAGTGTGATTTTCGGACCAAAAATGTTGAGCAACAGAAGACTTCTGTGTTTCCTTTTTTCTAACATATGCCTCATGTTCCTTGACGCGAAATTTTAAGGCTCTCTTAGTTTGACCAATGTAAATTAAACCACACTGGCAAGGAATCCTATAAATACCCCAGGAATTCATATCCGGAATGGGGTCCTTGAGCATGGAACTCGGAATTTTATTGATGGGAGAATACACAACCAGAAAGTTAAATTTCTGCAAAATATGTGCAACTTTATAGCTAATTGATGGAAAGAAGGGAATGACAACATAATTTTTATAATCTCCTTAAACAAGAGTGTGCCTTTTAGTGTGTTGAGATGAGAATTTTTTAACTGCTTCATTAATAATGTTGGGTGAAAAGCCCCTGTCAATAGCTATCTAATGATAATAGGAACATGATATCTAATGGTAATTCGGCATTGCAAGGAATCTTAGCACAGTAATTCTGATGCATTTCGAATGCAGCAAAGGTTGCAAGCCGAGTAGTTTTTAATTGGTCAACCAAGTTAAGACGAACTCTAAAATATCTATGGTATAGAAAATTCTGATAACAAAAAGGAATTAAAAAAATATCGAAGCGATGATCTTGAATTACAACCACAAGGGGACGCTAAAAGTGTAAAACCCGACTGATGGAAATGACATTTAATCTGATGAAGAAAAGTTAATAAGACTATGTGAGATTTGCATCGCTTACGAAAGGAGTGCTCTACCACCGATGGAAAGATTCTTAAATGGCATGAGTTCTTAATGTTCTTTTACAGCTTTATAGTGGTCAACTAATTTGTAGTGTTTCGTGATACGACAACATTTCATAAAGTAAGTATGTGAATGTCTCTTTTCAGATAAAATCAGTGCAAATGTAGGGCTGCAAATCATATGTATGTTTTGAAGCTGAAAAATGCCCGTAAACAAATGCTTATGTGCTACAGTCTTAGTACTATTTGAAGATTGCATAGAATATTTTTGGATACATACTGGTTATTGAGGTTTATTTTCAGTAGCTCATTGGAGGCCTATCCTATTGGAGCCTGCCGCAGAAACTGTTATTGAATTTCCCAATTAGTAAAGTTCCATACTCTCGTGAGTGAA